TGTTCGTAAGTCCTATTCTGTGAGATTTTTTGCATCGATTCTTGTTTTTTCAATCGTCGCTCGCATACGTTGGACTCATTTTATGGCGAAGCACACTTGAAAGACGTTACGGAATGCGACAACGCCTTGTAACATTGGACTAATTTTATAACAACAATGACGTCAGATATTTTGGTCTTTAAATGTATCACATTCCAAACTACCAGGAAAATTTAAATTTATTGTACAAATTGTGAAAACCCCGCGATTCCTCGTCTTCGTTCGTGTCTGCGACTGTGATAAAAAATAAATAATCTAAAGCTGATAAAAACAATGATAAAGAAACAAGATCGAGATTCGACGAAATTCTCTCGCTTTAAAGAAATGTGAAGAATAAGAAAATCATTTTAAATAAAGTTGTTAGAAATTACAGAAAATTTTCTTATTTTTCCAGTTGTTAATATTGCACAAATGATTTCTAAATTCATCGATAACTTTTTTGTAAATATTTTGAGCTTTAAATAATTTTTCTTGTTGTCTTTAGGTGATGCTCCAATTTGATTCTGGTGTTGGCTTTGGATAGCTGAATGGAAAGACGTTAGCGATTCGCAATATTTGAGATTATGCATATTCCAATTCATCATTGAAGATTTATCAGGTAAGGACTTCCAAGAAAAAACGAAATCTTTCATTGAAGTTATCGATGAATTTGATTTCATTTCGTGTAATTTTTTCGTTTTTTGGTTCTTGCAAGTAATTAAGATACAGAAAGCTGTATCTATCTGTCTCATTTAAATTCATATTAACACTATTGTCTCTGAATATTTTCAAGCCCACCACAAATCACTTCGCGTTACTGATTTTATTCCACAACCATAAATTGTAACATTTTTAAAATTTTTCCAAAGTTTTTCAAGCTTCAGTACCAGTTTTACATTTCTTGACATGAACAATTTGATTGTCGTCATTCATAAAGCGTCTTCTTGTTTCTCGTTCCATTTTGCTAATGCATCAGCATTTGTTACACCCGGTTCTTCAGCAGTCAAAATATGCTGGCACTTTTCTTTTGAAATTTCTTCATTTATTTCCTTAGCATGTTGCTTAGAGCGCATTTTAATAAATTTCCTCGTTTCAAAATAAAACAAATCCGATTAATTATCAGAAATTTTTTAGGAGTTTTATGACTAAAATTTAAATTATGATTTTACTAAACTTCATTCATTGCTTAATAAATTTAAATATTTGTAAATGCAGTGGAACATTATAATTGCCAATTAAGAACTTAAATAGATTAAATACCTGGATGAAAAGATTTTTATTATTTGTAAACAAACACACAAAATTGCAAAAATGTGAAATGAAACCTCATCAACTTCCTAAGTAT